CATCTTTTCTCCATTTCATCACACGATTATTATTTCTATCTGATATATAAACAGATTGATCTTCATCAACAAAGATATAAGCAGGTAAATTGAGTTGATTAAGTTGATTTCCTTGCCCATTTCCACCTGCCACTATAATTCCTTCGTTGTTGTATTTTCCAATTTCCCATCGTCTCACTTCATTCTTCTTATAATCAGAAATATAAAGAAATCCATTTTTATCCATTGCTAAAGCAAAACAGTCAATATCGTCAATGAGAATTTGTTGATCTTCATTTAACCATTGAATCACTCGTCTGTTCCAACAATCAGCAATGATGATCGAATGATTTTGTTGATCAACAATTATATCTGTTGGATGATTCAATTGATACATTCGATTTTCTTGTCCATTTCCACCTACAATAATTTCTCCTTCTTCTTCATTACATTTCCATTCAAGAATCCGATGATTTTCAAAATCAGCAATAACAATATTTTTCTTTTCATCAATAGAGATCCCACAAGGATATTTAAATTGATTCAGTTTCTGTCCAAATCCGTTTCCACCAGCCACAGTGATGGCATTTTGTCTCCATTTGTTGAATTTTGATTCTAGAAAACGATAAAAATATAATATCTAAAGTAGTGAGCTTCTAACAATGTGTTTTTATTAATCAACCATTTTTTGTAACTTTGAAGAAAAATCTGGTTTTAATTTAGTTTTATTTCATATACTATCATTATTTTCTTTTATATAGGAATAAATGTTATCAGTTTAATTTTTTTTAGAAATTATTTGTCACAAACTTACTTTTTTCTAATGAAATAACTGAAATTTCATTAATGAATGGTTGAGACTCTTGTTGAATAGACATATTTGATGGATTATTTAATTCTTGTCTAATTTTTATTAATCCATGCCTTAAATAGTCTAAATTAATCTCATTAAATTCATTTTCTTCTTGAATTTGTTTTATTTGTTCATTTAAATCATTAAATTTCTTTTCTATATCATTCAAATATGTTTGTGAAGATTTAAAGACAATTTCTCTACACTCTCGTGCTTTTTGTTCAATTATTTCAATTGAACTTCTTTCCCATTGATTAATTTGTTCTATTAATGAAAAACTTTGTGGATTTTCTTTTTGTTCATCTATTCTTTGTTTAAATTGATCATAATTGTCAATAATATGATGTAATTCTTCAATTAATATTTGTCTATGTTCTATTAAATCCATTAAACAAAAGTCTTTCAAACATCCTTCACAAAGATATGTTATTTTATCTTTATTACATATAGAACATTGTGTTTTATTGTTTGTCATTGCCACTTCTTTAAATGTAAATTTCTAGAAGAAATAAATATTTCCTTATATACTCTTCCAGATGTAAATTTAATAACTCAATAATAATAAAAATATTGTTCAGTAGTAGAAGAAATCGTAAAAGAATTTATTTTTGTTAATTTCAAATAAAAATCGAAACAATTTTAGTGATAGTTTTTGAATGAAAGAATGTTTTAATGTAGATTTCTTTTTTACTCATTTTTATATTATTTCAAAAGACTAACTTACTAGAATGAAACTATTTGAAAAATATGAATCAGAATTCTATCTATACCACGTGTAAGCAAACAAATAAATCATTCGTTCGCTACATTAGCCACATAGATGGTCACATGGTATTTTCTTCCATATATAACCACATAGTATTTTTTCCTTTTCGTTATTACAATTCGTTTTCTTCTGTTCTTTTGACTTCTATCGAAATGTGTTATCTTCAAGTATTTTCTCAGGATATATTATATTGTAGAGATGGAAATAGATCTACTGCTTATCGTAGAAATAATTGTGTTTTCTTTTTAAATCAACGAACTATTACTATGCTTTCAAACATCATGTTTTTCTTCAACCTTCGTTAGAACTGTAACATCACTTTGAATTTCTCTTTTATCGATTCAATTCCTCTAACTATTGTTTTTTTCTAACTATATATTTGATTTGAAAAAAAAAACCTATCGAAATAAATAAGTAAAATATAATCAAATTTAATCATAATTAATCAAATATCCTAAAACTTCCTTTTATATACCTCAGCATCGATACATAATAGAAGTTTGATGTTTTCTCTTTTAAAAGATTCACTATTGAAAGCTCTAGAAAAACGATGATGCTATAAGTATCTGTGATGATTGAAATTAAGTGTATGTAATGATTAAAGATCATAATAATCATCAATATTTAATATAAATCAACTTAATTGTTTAAATTAAAAGAGATAAATAATTCAAATATATTTATTTAAGAAAATTTAATGAAATAATAATAATAACTGAAATATCAACAATATTATTATTATTTATATATGATTTAAAATAAAGTTTCTGTGAAGATGACATTTCGTAAGATTTTTAATATTCATAAAGTGAATATTTATAAGTCAATATGATGAACCTAAGGGAATAAGTGATGCGTGATATGTTCGAATTAAAGAATATTCAATAGGTAAATAGAAGAATTGATCATTAATCGATTCTGGATGTCAGTAATTGAATAAAATCTAATTAATAAATTATAAAATAATTGCTATTCTTTTTCTTAGTAAAATTCGACAAAAATCAACAAAAGATAAAGAACTTAACATTTATTTATTCGAAACATCTAATTGAAACTATCAAACTAAA